GCTTGTTTTACAACGTCGTTGCCAAGCGACGAAAACCCAACCCCGATGGCAAACACCGGGAGGGGGCGTCCACGGGGGGGGCGGGAATACGTAGGTGTGGTTTCCGGGGACTTTGGCTAACGTCGTCTACAGAAGGGCTGCGTCAAACGCTTTTTTATATTGCATGCTACGTGATGATAATATGTCAGTTTTTTTTTATGTGGATTTCTCTTTTGTCGCCGTTCGTTCACGCAATCCAACTCCGTCATTTTGACCTCTTGCCCAACTTGACGTGCGATTGAAAACTAAACCATTTTTTGCGCACAAGGAGTACTACCTGGAATGGAGACGGGTCATGTTCGAGAAACTCATCTTCGACTGCGCTGTGAACTTGGTTGGGGCGCTCCACAAGTTTCCGACCGTGGGCTACGTGGTTCAGTGAGTACTCCTTTGTGTTTTGTCGGTTGTAAAATAACATCCTTGCCATGGCCCAAATGAGAAAATCACAGAGAGGGATAAGGGGGTGGACATAACCTGAACTACCACCACCACCCGTGTGCATATCGAGTGACAACATCAGATCACCTGGGTTTTGTATGCTGCAGCTCATCGCCGTAACGACACCGGTAGGACTTGAGTTGCGCAGTCCAGCAGGACCACATTCGTTGAGTGCCCGAACATATATCGGTTGGACACGGAGTCCACGCTGCCAGTTCCCTCCGCGTTTCGCGACCCTCCTGATTATTGGTCGTCCTGTACGGTAGTCGGACAGTTTCGGGCCACGAACCGCAATTGTCCATTCCTTGGATATTTCCTCCTGTCAGCAACGAGAAAGAGCGACTCATTGCCGGTTCTTTCTTGAGACCCCCGTGACGAATGCTGCACTGTGCCATGGACACCGTATGCACGAAGGTAGTGTTTCTCCTGGGCGTTGTCAACCTTCACCGTCCCTCGAAACAACTGACGTTCTTGGTGTGTGTCGTGCTTATCCCTTGAGCATCTATGCGAACGCTATTCAGTGCTTTGCAGCGCCAACACCTTTAGTAGTGTCAGCAACTTTGCATGTGTGCGCACGATCTTCTGTCGTCATCGTATTTATGGCATTGGAGCATGCAATATGCAATATCGACAGCATGAGAGCACAGCCGCAAGCGCGCCTTCGCATGTGGCGCAACGCAACGGACTCGGTTATGTCCCCTTCGAATAGGTATCACGCAGAAGAGTTGGTGGACATGCTGTTCGAGCTCAAGAACACGCTTCGCAGCACCCTGGCAGTGTCGCTGATGAACGGGTGAGCAGTCGAGAGTATCCAAGAAGCAACGAGATATAGTGCGACAAAGCTTGCTTTCCGGGTTTTGCTGCTTTTGGTGAAGCACTCCCGAGGATCGTCTGCTGCTTGCTGGTTGGATCAGAGTGCTGGAGCAATCGCTAGGTGTAGATAGCAAAACGAAGGCTTTCACGTTTCGGTGTCGAGTTCTCGGCTACAGCAGCTCATAAGTCTCCTCTGGACCTAAGCTCCATAGTTTTGTATCGCCTGGGTTGTCTTCCATGTGTGTGAAAAGTCGCAAGCAGCGTTGGTGCGATAGGAGTATTCATCACACACACGCTCTTTGTCGTGTAACCAATCGTTTCCTCGCTCAAGCACTCCGAGGTCGTGCTGGGCGTATGGTTACGGTGTTGTCGACGACGGGTGAGAACGGGCAAGAGAAAAACCCTTGCGGTTGTCGCTGTTCGCCCCCTGTCGGTCCGCGTAAAGTTGGCTTTGGTAGGTGTGAAAATCTCACGATGCGGGTGCATTTCGGAACCCGAAGCCGGCATCGTGATACTCGACCCCGCTCAAAGTGACGCTCTGCCCTCCTCGTGGGACTACGCTTGATGGCCGATATATGTAGATGCATGCAAACGTGTCAACACCTTTAGCTTCGGGTGCATCGGGCGGCTAGCCGCGTGCGGTGAGGGCTACGGTTTTCGGGGAGAACGTTGGGGAGAGGGTACGGGTCGCAGAAGAGAGGAATGGCTTGCCGCAACTCTTCTCCAACCGCCGTTTCCAGGATTTCTGTCACACCATTTCTCCTCCTACCCCTGACCTAAGGCCGCCACTAGGGCCCCAAGTTCTCCAAGAGAAGGTCGTGATTCCTGCACACTGACAGCACGCGCATCCCCCCAATTTCCTTAAACAAAAAAGGTACCCTGAGCGGCTGATCGCGTACGGTGACCAAGTGGGAGACAGGCAGACTACCCGCATGGACGCGAGAACCTTCAAGTGGTACAACGAATTCTTCTACGACATTTCCAACACGGCGCTCAAGGCTAAGTTCGACGACCCCTGCCCCATGCACACGGAGTACCTCAACTACGGCAAGGACAAGGGTATTTTCACGTTCTAGACCCGCAAGGCTGCCGAAGATTCCCTTGCTGGCGTTGGTTATGGTAACGAGTTTGGGAGGAAGAGTCCGAAATTGAGGGTTGTGCCGTGCCTGGACATTCTGAAGCTTATATCTGGGTTGATGTCGATCCTTGACTCTGTCTAACGTCCAGGACAGGTACATAGGTTTTGCTGTGTTGCTAATGCAAGAAATATGAGTGAGGATATGCTAGACTACGCGCTTTCTCGAAGCGTATGTTTCATTACCACGTTCGCAGAAATTTATCTTTGCAGTGGGTCTCGGGGGTCTTCGTTTGAATCAAGCGTTGGCGAGAGTTGTTCTTTGCGGTGGAGCTTCGAGTGTATTTGCAGTGCGAGAGTTGGCACCACGGTGTTTACTTTTTTGAAAGTCTCTCATTGTACTCATGTGACACTCCCATGCTGGCTTTGCAATCCGTTTACAGATTGTCGAATGCGTATGACCCTTTTCTCTTCTTGCTTTTTGCATAAACCCACGTTGTACCTCTCGTATCTATGCGACACTGAATGAAGTACGGTGGTATGCACGGTGATATTTGAGGGAAGAGGAGGGAGACGATATATTCAATAAATCGGTTGACGTGAATGAGGCAAAATATATACAATAAGACGTTGTCTTCGCCGTAGACCACCCAGGTCGAAGCTGTGGGAAGCGGGTGCCTCTCTTATTGTCATTACAATCTGACCGTTGAAAATGCACAGGGCGCGACTCTCCAAACCATACCAAACTGCAAAAACTGCTGTGGCACCGCCGCACGGTGCTACGGTACAGCAGCACCCTGTACGAGTGAAGAAAAGGCGTTTTCATTGAAATCGGAATACTGCGTCCACTTCGCCGATATCAAGAGCACAACCGCAGGAACGTACCATTACCCCCTGTAATCGCCACGGTTGGGTTGGACAGACGTAGTTGGAAGGCACCGCGGGCTTGCTTCAGGCTACAGAACTCTCCACCACTAACGAACATAGCAGTGAGGAACTTGAGCCTAAAATACATCAAATGCAAAAATGGAACGTCGCGGACGGCTGGACCCTTCTCGCGATGAACATAAAATTCAACACGCACCGCACAAGGGTGGGGCACGAAATATAACAAAAAGAAGAAAAAAGCCCTGGTGGTTACCCCCCTTCTGTGTGACCCTGCAGGGTTGTAGTTGCACGAAAGAGTACACTGAAAAAGTGTTGTACTCTTACGTACAGTGATGTATTACACGTCTCACCAAGGAAAATGGGGGGACTGCCATAATAAATAGGACCAAAAACAACAAACAACAAACTGGCATCGGAAAACTAATATCGTGGGTGCCAGCACATCCAATTACGCACGTACATAGAGAACGATCACGCGGTGATGCCAAGTCTCCAATCAAGGGAAATTCGCACAAGCGCTCATCGCTGAGTGATCTATGGAACAAAAGGGAACGTCCCAGTACACCAACCTTGCGACAGGCAGACTTGGCACAGGCCGCCACACGAAGACTACTTTCCCAACAAATGCCCGATCTACCAGGCCTGTACTAACAATACGCGCAGTATCAAAGGACGAGGAAATGTACATTGGAATGTACTGCAGAATAAGTAGTAAATCCAAGAACATGCAAGGCAAGTACATGTACCAAGCGCAGACGTTCGGGACTGATCGGTGTTCCACCGGAGCATGTTGCCCGACAAGGTCTTCAAAAGAAAACCGAACCGAGGTCTTCATAGTTCTACTTCGGTGCCCCGGCTTCCCGGGCGCTGAGGACAAGGTCCAGCTTGTTCGCCAGGGCGCCCAATCGCTCGTCAATCATGGCCCCCATCCTCTCTTCTAGCGCGCCCACCCTTCCTTCGAGGGTTTCCTCGAGCTCGCTAAACCTCGCGCCAACGATCTGCCTCAGCTCCTCCGCGCCCCAGCCCCCGGCCTCCCATCCGCCCACGTCACGATTTTCGTCGTCATCTTCGTCTTGGGGTGCGGCACCTACCCGACCCCGGGCGGCGGCAGCACCGCCACCACCGCCATGGGATCCACGACCCCCCGCACCCGACTCCTCCAGCTGGCGGGAGATATCTCCCGCGGTCTTGAGGAGGTAGGCCTGCAGCCCGTTCATGTGCTCCTTGGTCGTGGCCTCCAGGCGGTTTCTGAGCAGCTTGATGTGCTCCACCGTAGTTGCCCTCGTCTCCTCGTCTCGGCGCACGTCCGGATCGCTCATGGGGTCGTCGAGAAAGATCTGGAGCTCGCTGGTGGTCAGAGCTGGGGAGAGCGTCGTTCATGAGGCGTACGATCACGCATGAGCGATTCCGGGAAGGCAAGAGCGGGGAGTTGTTGTGGTCGGGCCGATAGGATTCGATGGACAACTACGTTATTCCATGCGGAAGGGTGTGGGAAAAAATGGGTCTAATGCGGGCGGTGCGTGGTAGATATTGGGCATTTTTTTGTCTCCACGCTGCTTTTCGTTTTAACTCGTTTGGCCAAAAGCTACCTACCGTACCTGGGTGGGGGCGGGGGCCTGTGTTGTTTGGATCGTCAATAATCGCGACCCACGGGATTTCTGGCATCACTCACCCCCATCTGCCTCCTGCAGCACGATCGGCACCACCTTCTCCATATCATCTTCTGCTCCTTCGGCCACGATCGTCGCGGGAGAGCCACGCGCCGTAATCGACGCGGTCGTCGTCCTTCCGTCTCCCCGCTTCGCCCCGCCCCCGCGCCCCCCCCCGCAGCAGCAGCAGCAACCCAGAGCACGCATGGTCCTCCTCACGCCCGCCACGCCGCCTCGCACCCACATGACCAGGTGCCAGAAGGGTGCTCCCACCGCACAAACGAAGATCACGAGCAGCATCCTGGCGATCCTTCCGCCGAGGCTTTTGTCTCCCGAGGTTTGCCAGACCACGACCGGTGCCTTTACAATGGAGATCATCCACAACACCCAGCCGGCAAGGACGGCGATGGGGCCGAGCATGGCCCAGAACGCCAGCCGGCCGAAGAAACCGCGGGCAACTTTGAAATAGCTGCGGTCTCTCTTTGTTTTTTCGTTGCCGTTGATGCTGCTGCTTCTGCTTGTGCTTCTGCTGCTGGAAGCAGAGTCGGCGGCTGAGTTGGTGGATGCCGTTGAGGGGCGCCGGGAAGTGCGGAAGCACAAGTCTAGCACCATGAAGGGGAGGGCGAAGATCCACTGAAACAAGTTAAAGGGCGGCGGGAGGCGGTCGATCTCGACCACGTTTACGTAGTGCTGGATCAGCCTAGCCCTAGTCACCTGACAGATTCAAGATGTGGCGAGGTCATGCGATCGAACAAGAGTGTTGTCAATTGCCGCCAAAATGACTCTTCTCCCAGAGGTCTAGGGAACCTACTTGGGAGCTCGCCCGAGTTTCATCAACCATTTATTATTCTTTAGTTTTGAACCAGTGGAAACACAACTAAAGAAACTCTGGGAACCTTAAAACGCACCGGCAGCGGACATGCGGTGCTAGAGTGTACGTTGAAATCACGAGGGGATGTTTGCACTCGGGACTCATGACCGAAGATGATGGGCTCAGGGAGGACAAACCGCAACATCTAGACCCGCAAAATGGTTGTCGGAGGTGTTCCTGAAGCGCCGTTGTGAGAGATGAGACGGTTAAGAGTGACGAGGTGTGCGTGAGCGAGGGAGCGTGATTGATGCTGACCAACGCATGCGTGGCATGAAAGAGGCCAAACAAAACGTCTATATACCGGGCGTTAGTGGCGTTGTTGGTAAAGAGGGTACGGAAGATGCATGGCAAACAGAGTAAGAGGAACACGTATGAATACATTCAAACGCAAACACCTCTTCCAACGTTCGTTGGCTGATAGGCAGGGAAATAAGTATGACGACTGGCATACGGTTCTCGTGCTTGGCACAGTGCAAGCGGGAAAGCCGGCGGTGAAAGGATGGCTTGCTCGCCGCCAATGGTTATGTTGATGAATGACAGGCTTCGTGACAACGCCTGTTGTTTCACGACAAGATAAAGCCCGCGGGAAGCCTCGCAAAATCGCAGGACTGGCCTTAGTCCGACTCGTGAGGTCTGCGTAGTGCTCCACGGCCGAGGATAGATCCAGCTGACTCCCTTGGTTAGGGGCGAATGCTTAGGTGTGGTTACGGCGTGCTTTGTTGCAACGGGATTGTCGAGATCGTCGGACCATACATCCTGGGCGTGGTGCATTCTTCGAAAGATGGTCATAACTCTCCTCCGGAGAATATTTTGTTTCACCCGCCGATACTGCTGGTAAGTCGTTACAAGCACCGCTGTCGACGCTAATCAAAGAAGCACGCACACGCGCGGGCGCACGCTTGCGCTCGCGGCCCGTAAAATGTGTTGCAAGAGAACGACGACGGCGGCTGCTAACCTTGTACTCGAGGCCGGCGTTCGCGTCGACCTTGGCGTGTGCCGTCGACAGCACCGCCACAAGGAGGTTGAGCATCATGATGGTCAGCAGAACGAGGTAGACGACCAGGAGAACGGTGGCCACGCCGTCAAACGTGGTCCCCGAGAAGTCGTCGAGGTAGTCCGTTTCGCCCAGCGTCGCCCTGAAGATGGCCTTCCATACCTGCAGCAGAACATCGTCCATGTTCCGATGAGGACAACAGAAACGTGTCGTCGAGCATCATAACCCTCATGCACAACGAAACGAAACGCATACCTTCTTGATACCTCTGTCGCAAGAAGCGCCTCAGACTGCTGTACGTTCACGCGTCATGTTTGTATGTACTATAGTTGAAACATGTTCAAGACGCTTGGCAGCCACCAAACCGGAATGTCGTTTCGTGCGTTTCTTGATGGTTTCTTCTTCTCCCGAGCCGGCGGTTCTATTCGAAGACGCCGCCGAAACCAGGATAAGACGGTGCAGTGCTTCCGTGCCTACAAGTACTTTTCGTAGCTCTCGTGTAAATCGCACCGGCTGGTCCCACTTCGTGCAGGAAGTCGGCCATGTTTCGTTGTTGCACCATGCCCCTCTCTTCGTCAACACCTACTACGGTCTCTTCCGAGCCCTTTCTTCCTACACTTGCGCTTGCTTTGTCTACGCCTCTTTCTTGTGTCGCTGTCTCACCTCGCCGTAGGCGGTGGTTTCCTTGTACAGACTGTAGAACGACGTCACGAAGCCCAGCATCACAAGCAGCATGATCATCCCGAACTTGGCCAGAAGGCCCGTCATCGAAAACATAACCTGCCAAGGAAGGTGGGGGGCGGGTGATGGGTGGATGGTGGTAGGTGACACCCGCTAGACTTGACAAACCCTTATGTCTTTAAACCGTCGCTGAGGCTCACGGAAAACATTTTCCCGACCAGCCACCCGCTAGTCAATTTGGCCGCGGCACGCAACGTGGCCTCTTTCCCGGCGGAGGGTCGAAGACGCAAACACACGATTGGAGGCTGTGTGTTTCCCGATAGCAGAAAGGTTACGTTTTGTGCCCTCACGGGTGTCGGTCAACCCGCACGGCTGACATGGAGACCACGACTTGGTCGAAGTCAAACCCTGGAGCTGAATTGCACACCAGACGTGGGCCTCGTGGGACCCGGGAATCGGTCGTCCATCAAGAGCAGTTGACACTAACAGCATCACGAAGCCTACCACGTCACGATAGTTGTCAGAGCAAGAGTTATTACAACGCACCTGTATCATAGGCCCTTGCGAAGGGAGGATCTGCGCGAAAAACAGGATCCTGGCGAACGCCAGGGGCGCGCTGAGGGCATACAAGGCTCTGGAGGACTCATCGTCGACTTGCCCGTACATTCGCTGGATCGCCCCGCCAAGGAGCAAGGTGAGGGAGGTCACGTCAAGCAGGTTCCACTGGTCCCGCATGTATTCCCAGGGGTCCTCAAGAATCTCACGGAACTCGGTCAGGATGCCTCCCTGTCGCGCGTTTGTGGGTTGCTTGCTTTCGTGGGAGAGATGATTGACCACAATTCTCGAAGGACAAACAAAGTACTTCATGCGCGGGAGGAGTCGGGCGTGCCCAGGCAACAGCTGAGGCAATGCGCCCAGCAAGACCATCAACAAGAAGAAGACCGACTGCCACCATCGCCACCACTACCACCACAAAAACAATAAAAATACGACCATTGTCCTCACGAAAATGTACATGGTGAAGACGATCTCCAACCAGTCGGAGGTGTCGCCCGCCTCGTGTAGAATGACAAACCCCCCGAAGATGATCATCATCGAGATGTACGTCACGAGGTCCAAGCACATTCGAAGGGCAGGAACCTGTACACGCAAGTGTTCGCATGATGCACACACACACAACGTTGCGGTGGGGCCGGTGTTGTGTACGAGGACGACAGAAGGGGTGAGGGGGGCATGCGCACCGCAGCCACTCCGTTACCCTTGGCGTCGCCGTGAACACAAGGAAGAAAGAGAGAACGTTTTTACCATGCCAAGCGCGGGTTCGAGCAACGATCGCCCCAGCAGGAGAGAAACGGCTCGTGGACAACGGGGGCGAGGGTATTGCCTACCTTTCCAACTCCTACCAAATGCGGATTGTGTTCGCCAAGCGGGGTTTCGGCACGATTTCGGACCGCGCCGAGGAAGGAGGTATGTGTGTGTGTGTGTCTACTCTTAGTATCAACCGCGCTAACCGGCTGACCAATGAAAATAAGTCAGTCTCGGCGCAGCTGAAAACACGAAAATGCTTCTAAGGACCATGATCTGGTTTGCGTGTGTCAAGCCCCTGGTGTGCCGGGTGTGCCCGGCTTTCTCTTCTCAATATGAACCAGTGCTCAGTGTGTCATATGTGTGCATGTTTGTAGACACGGTTGAAGTAGGCGTTGAACTACTTTTTTTTTCCTCGCGGAGGGCGTTGTTGTTGTTAACTTTACATTAGGAGCTGATATCAAGTACATCTTCCCTGCCACCCAAGGCAAAGAACCGATTGATGGTCACAAGCTAGCCCAGATAAGGGAATATCACTGTAAGATTCAAAGAAAACGAAAGATTCGAAGAATTCCCCCAACAATCGCGAGGAATATGTAGTGGAAACAACCCAGAGGCGACCACAAGAAAAAAAACATACAAAAAAAATCTGACGGTCTGTTATATACACCACCCAAACACCAACAACGAAATATTGCCTACCGGGTATGAATAGTTAGTACAATCTGTGTTCAACAGACTTGCGAACGATTGTATTCAGGTATTCGCAACCGCGAGAGGCACTCTCGCGTCGCGACGTACAACGCGAATTGTCTGGGCAGGTGTCTCTGCACACGGCCATCTCGCTGTACCTTGTAGTAGCTGCCCGGCCTGGACAGAAATCCGGCAATGATAAACCTTGCCCCCGGAAAGTAGGTGATACTCGACAGCGCCCCCCCCGCGTAGCCTCTCTGCAGAGCCATTCCGAAGAAGAAAACCTTGCCCTCTGCGAGCAAACCACCCCCTGGACGTGCGACAGAATCGACGCTTGTCAATAACAGACGTACGTTTGTTCACACGGGTACGGTTTAAAGTACGGGCAAACGCACACCCTGGACGTGCGACAGAATCGACGCTTGTCAATAACAGACGTACGTTTGTTCACACGGGTACGGTTTAAAGTACGGGCAAACGCACACCCTGGACGTGCGACAGAATCGACGCTTGTCAATAACAGACGTACGTTTGTTCACACGGGTACCGTTCAAAGTACGGGCAAACGCACACACGTGTGTGTGTGCGGTCGACGGTCATAGCTCGATTGTCCCGTAACAGCAACCCATGGGGCTGACAATGCCGAAAAGGGGGGGTTCGGAAAGATCTCGTCGAGAGGTTTCTTGCCACGTGCCGGTCGGGTTGCGCACACCCTCTTGGTTGTGGAGCGTGGATTCTTGACATTCTATCGATCGCACACTTGCGTGTGCGCCCGCACTCTTGAGGTAAATATGTGTAACGATAGGAAAATCACTGAGATTGTGGAGGAAATGTTGTTGCAGCGGAGTAGGACCTTTTTTCCCAGAAACAATATACGCCTCGAGAAAGTACAGCGCCACCCCAAAATAAACCGTGCGGACGGCCGAATGTGTAATCGAGACTTGATTATTGTAGAGGCAAATTGCCAAGCCGTGTCCGATCAGCATATCATCACGTCCCAGCGCGTGCCCGTTCTCAGCAAAACGCTCGTGCAGAAAAATAACGCTTAAGTAACGGAAACGCACGTACCCAGCGACTGGCCGAGTCGACTGCCCTGATTCCGTGCACACTACTAGCTGTAGGAGCGTCGAAAGCACAACTGGTCTGCTTGGTCACCGTTGTTCGTGCTTGTGTCCAAGGACATCAGCCAGTTGTACAGAACCGATACCTTCACCCCCGACGATTGAACAAATACGTCTTAGATCTTCTATGCCGTGCATCCCCTAGCGTCCACCGTAACGACCAACCACGCTTACCGATGTGACCGAGCCGATGAATCCCCTTGCTCGCAGCGAAACGAACCAATGAAAACAACAAAACAGGGCTGACCATAACGGCGACCACCGTTCTTGCGCGGGATCGGTTGTTCCGTGGCGATGGGTGCCGCACAAGTTGTTCGGTGAATCTCTCGACGAGAAACCACTGCTTATGCCAGATCGAAGGGGTCTTCATCCGAAATTCTAGGTTTTACAGTAAATGACGCGGGTTGGTATCGTGAGACACGAACCCGCTTGGTTGTCTTCCTGCCCTTTTTTTCCCCTCACCCCGTCCACTTGGGCTCCCTTGCTCACCGTACAGGGTCTGTGTGAAGCCCTTGTTACTGAGCAGCACCCCCTCCGTGTCCCTCAGGCTAGGCAGTCCCTTCGTGAACTTCCTGGTCATAAAGTCCAGGACCAACGGGATCGTGCAGTACGTCTCCATCTGCTCCCTCTTGCTCAGCACGACGTGCAAGGGCCCCTGTAGCAAACGGTTTCGTTTCGCTATTTTTAGGCAGGCGGTTGAGAGAGGCGCGTGGTCGCATCTGCCGGAATATTGTTTCATTGAAGGTTCCGCCACATCGAATGGATATCCTCATTTTCATCGGTCTACTTATCATGTTGTGTGCACTAGGTGAACAGAACCTGGTTGACAGCCACCGTGGCACCAGAGAGCGAAAGAGTGCGCCGGAGCGAAAACACAGCAACGAGAGCAAAACAATAACAACAACAACAACAACAACAACATCGACAAAAAACCCACCTGCCAGCTACTATCAGACTTCAGGAATATCCATGGGCCTTGGCCGTTTCCATGAACGTTTCAGCTCTTGGGAAGGTATTTTCGACATTATTACTTACACCGGAACAAGAACGAGGGCGCCAAAACAGAAACGATACACCCTACAGTAACATCCCCGGGATGGCATACACACCCACAAACGCTCGTGGCAGTGACCAATCAAAACGAAGCACACGCGCACACTGACTTCTCAATTCTCGGCCGGCCTAGGTGAAGGCACGGCGGGCGATTCTGTTTTCGATACTGAAAACACAGAAAGCAGCTACAAATCAAACAGTCATGACCCGGAGTTGAGTGTGCGTGTTTCTTAAGTCAAGGAGGAAGAACAAAACACAACCTCAACGCACAAGCGCACGCACCCACCTGATAGCCATGAAATCGGGAGATAACGGTCTCAGGCTCGAAGATGGCGGAGCAGTCTCTCATCTCGCCTTTGAACCCCTTGACTGTCTGAGGCATGTGCTCTAGAACCTCGAGCAGAAGCTCGTCAACGGCGGCCTGGGGTGAATTTTTCGGTCGCCAGGCAGGGTGATGGAACTTTGGCGGCAGACATGCACGTGGTGTTGCATTTTTTGCTGTTCCGATGAACAAGGTCTAGGCGGGAGAGCAAGCACACACCAACTTAAAACCGTTCAAACACACATTCAGATACGCCGACGCACTTCTTAACCTCTAGGGGCGGAGTATTGGAGAACGCGCGGTATTTCCGTGCATCGACGCATAATGAAGTAGTTCATCATAGCAAACCGTCTTCGCGATGGTGGCGGCCCTCTCTACCCTCTTTACTCTCGTTGACCAAGGACTTTTGCTCCACGCACGCACGATCGAGCAGGGTGGTTGCCCATCCTGTAGCGGTGCATGGAGTAGTAGTATACCTGCATCGAAGCGAGACGGCGTTTTTCTCCTTCCATGGCGCGCCTGGTCGCCGTCGTGCATGCGACGGACAGGTTCATGCCAGGGATGAACGGGTTGTTCGCCGAGGAGATGGCCCCTAACAGGCTTTCCTGGGGGGGTGGCGGTTAAGGTAGGGCACGCGAAGGATTCGGGTAGAGAAAACAATAAAACTGTGGTTTGCAGAGCCCATGTTGGGAAACTACAATAAAACGGGAGGGAGAACAAAGTACCCCGACCGAAAACAAGGAGTGGCGGACTGCCAGCGATTCAATGGCAGCAGCAAGTCCCGGTGTTGCCGTTCGATGAAGCCATTGTCGGCCACAACCACAACAGCAGCACTACTAGTACTAGCAGGGTGTAGTTGGGTAGTGAGAAGCAACACCGAGCACCAAGAGGTAGCCATCGCCCAAGACGGGGCACAGGGAAATGTTCTTTCGGGCAGGGAGGGTTTGTCCTGCTGGTCGGAACAAACGCACACCCAGGGGAGGCTGAACAAGGGTGATACACCTTCCCGTTGCAATCCTTTCACGTTATAATGCCCATCGTTAGTGAAAGGAGGACACCTGTGTGTGTTTCGTCCACAGCACGTCGTTAGCGCAGACGGACGGTACTTGTACCGCTGGTTCGACGGGAAAACATTCGTAAGGCTCACGTCTACCATGCTCGGGACTGGGACATTGTGCTTCTTGGACGACGTGAAGCCAAACATGTGCCAAGGTCCCTGCACGGGTGACTTGACTGAGGGAGTGAGGTCAACTAAATAGCAAGATATCTATTTCTTGTCCAGCCTCCCAGACGCAGAGCACTAATAAGAATAAGAATAAACAACCGAGGGGGAGGCATTCCGAGACAACCCAATGTCTTCCTCATGCTGCTGATGGCTTCGCTTCTACGACCGGGCTGTTCCTGTCGACCAAGATGACAGAAAAAGGTCGAGTGTATTCTCGTCTCGGAATCAACGCACAACGGTTGTACGACAACAAGGAGAAGGATATGAACCCTGCTCCTGAATACTTCCTAGTCTCGTATACCGCGTCCCTTGATGTTCAAAAAGGAAGTACGGTCAAAAACAGTCCAGCGCGTTCAGCTGAACTCAGCAACAATTTGAAAAGCAACATTCGGTCGGTAACATCTCAACTTTCAGTTTCTCGCTCTTGACGTAATGCGCGTGAGAAGGACAAACAAGTGTTCGATTTCTAGGGGCTCAACGAATATCACGGGTTAGTCCCACGCGTTGGGCAAACACTTCGATATCTCTAGCAATGGACGTTGCGCGAGAAGGACGTGTAGGTCAGCCTTTTCGAAGTCAAAACAGACGCGCAAAGGGGGCGGGAAATGGCATGAATGAATAGCATTCAGCACCTTCAGACGGGGAAACTTGACCAAGTTGCTGAGCCGGAGGAGCCCCTTGTTGGTGGGCTTGGCGCCTTGCTGAAGAAGGTAGGCCAGCACGCTCAACCTCGCGTCTTCCACCTACAGTAGAACAAACCCAAACATAACGAACCAACGGACAGCGAAAAACTGAACGGAACGAAAAAGCGCACAGCAGACCAAGCAAAGAACTGTGCCACTTCCGAGAATGGGGTCGTTGTGTTACGTATGAGTTGATACCACAGGGTGGAGATCCTCAACGCGAGAAAACATAGCGAGGCCGACACCATTGATTGGTTGGTGAGTGTATCGTTGTGTTCTTTGGTAGCGCCTCGCACAATGGAGCTGGCTATGCTATGTGTATTATCTTTTTTCGAAAACAGCCGCTACATAATAATTCATGTCGCACAACGCGCCAGCACGACCGGCGCATGGACGGACGGACTGGGAAAAGCAGCAGCCCTACATGCAACCGAGAAGCGCACAGAGTATACATAACAGGTAGCTGCATCAATATGCAAATCCGAGTCGTCGCGTGTGCAGCCCTGCAGAAGAAAAAAACCGTTCAACTCGTGCGGTCACCACCGCCGCAAAGAGCACAACCACAATACCAAAAATAGTTTTCTTGGTCGTTCCGTACTGATCCTTCTTCCGACCAGGATGGACGCGAACACGACACCCGCCCGCCTGCGAGGAAAGTACCTCATGCAGACTTTATAAAAACGCTTTGGTTTCTGTGTTGTTCTTCACTTACCGGAAGCGAGAGGTTGTTGCAGCACGTGGAGAGCGACGAGCTCAAGGCGACCGTCATCTGTAACGACCGGCACACGTGAGAGCAACCCAAAACTTTCGGTTATTGACAGTTCTCTACGATTTGTTCTTGGGTGATCGTGCGGCCTCCGCTCTTGATAGGTGCATCGCTCCTCTCGTGTCGGCCCGTTTTCGACCGGCCGAGTCAACCACGCCAACTCGCCCCCGACGAGCTCCTACGTTTCAAGCCGGCCGTAGACTTACAATCGATGTGCACTACATCTTTACGACATGACAGAATAAATCGATAGAGGATACGATGCGCAACGTATGTCCGGTTGCTGTGGGGAAGTGGGCACCCTTTCGACCAAATTTTCCCCACGATACCTCTGCTTGTGCTACGCAATAACCGAAGCACCAACAACCAGGACCATCACGGGGACACCACCAGCAGCAGCCGTGACGATGCCACCGACGTTCCCCTTACTTTCACGGGCTTCCGTCAACTGATCGGGCGCAAAAAACATGTCTTTGCGACGACCGTCGCCGCCAACGAACGCACCCCGCAACCTATCTAACGCAGCGCTACTGTAGAACATGATTCAGCGTATCGTCGCAGACCGCTGTAATCAACAACGTGCCTGGTTAACAGACAGGAACTTTCCCATCGCTTCCGAGACGATCACGACGTTGTCGAGGACCGCGCTGTTGGCGGCACAAGTTAGCGCCGTGTGGCCCCGCACGTTCTTCGCCACGATCATTTCCTCCCTCTGTTACCACTCGTTCGTGTGTTCCGAGGTGGGTTTCGTTTCGCGATAGCGAGCAACAAGGAATCAACAGGCGAGGACGGGGAAAATCAGGGCGAGTGTCGTGAGTTGCTGCCTGTTCCCGCTGCATGTAGGCGCCGAGTTCCTGTAGCCCGACCCGTTCCGCGTGAGAACATGTTGTCGAGTAAACCTCGTCCCCCTGCCCGCTTCCGTGTGGGGAATTTATCTTTTCGGCGTAGGTACATGTATCAGTGCACACATTTGCAGCATGTAGTGTAAAAGCTTCCGGATGACCACACCGGGAATCAGAACTTGCACACATGGCAGGGATAGAGCGGGCATTGTGTCCAAAGCAACAGCTGGAAAAACCCGCCCAACAAAAATCGACGCCAGCCTCACCAGATACTGCGACTTCGGGGGGCACGGCGGATTGCGCATGCTCGCCATGGAGTCCCAGCGTTTCGATGTACCGGCGAGGCTCCTGTCCTTCCTCGAGGCCCTCAGACCATCCGTCTTGATCTTCGGCGCCCCACGACCAGTTGAAGCCTTAGAATGCGAAAGAGAGTCCGCCGAGAAAGGGCTCGGAGGCTCTCCCGTGAGGTCCTGAACGCGCCGGGGTGGGTGGGGGCGAAACGGTGCCGATGCTGCAGTTGTACTGGTATCTGTATCGTTGGTGGTTTCGATTGTTGCTGTCTTGTGGTTGTCTGTGACGGTGGATGCGTTGTCCGGAGGAGGCCTGACGGGTTGTCAATGGCTGCAGTTCGATGGTCTGCGACTCACGGGCCGAGCGGTCCGGTCTCGCCGTGGTTAGGATATAGATCGCATGGTTGCGTCGCGTGCAGTTTCGGTTCACACAATCTCTGTACGAATCCAATTGTTCCTTCTGTTCGGGACCTCAATCACAAAAGTGAGCGTTCGTAGTACGCACTCCCCTTGCTGATCTCCTACGAAACGCGTGGAGCATAGAGTAGCGCTCGTACGGTTTTCAGACTGCGTCTTCTTGCAGACAAAACTCGGGTCTCCGCTGACCAGTTTCCGCCATGGAAAGGGCTTCGCGCAACCTCATAATCACACGCTTCGCACAAATAGCCCATCAAAAACAAGGTGACGTATGGTACAGAACGTTCTTGGCGCACCATGTTGTCGACGTTCTCGTCGTCGCCATCGGTGGTGCTGTCATCGATGACGGAAATCGCGTTCATGACGGCTTTTACGGCTGCCGTGCTCCTGCTCTCGGCGGCGGCCATGAGAGCCGTCGTCCGCGACGGCCCTTTGCACGCTGTGATTGTGTCCACCACCTGACCCGAGCATACGACAGACAGCATCCATTCGTGTAGTGCCAAAAACAAAGACAAAAATACCGAAGGTTGCGTAAGATATTGCACCCCTTCGACCGATTTTCCCAGCTCGATTTCTCGGCAAGAAAAGCAGTGACGGTGCCGAAAATGGCAGGAGGTGTTGGAACCGCCAAGAGCTTTCCGAAAACATATCCTTTGATTTCGGCATCTTCTTTGTCGTCGAGTAGCCGAGCTTTGAACATCGGTCCAGGGGGTGTGGTGTCTCCCTCAACCTACGGTAACACCCCGAAACAGCAACAAGACGACGCGATTCTGCATCATAAACAAGAGAGCAAAGGCAACAGCAGCAGGGTCGAGAGGGACCACAAGAACAAGCGATACCCGACGAACAAAACTCTCACTGGTCGGACACATGGAGGGGTCAAGACGCATGCCGAAGAAGCGAGATGCTGATCGCTCCTCACCCAATCCCTCGGGAGGACCTCCGCCATGACCGCCATCACGGCGTCGACCACCTCCCCGTTGCCACTTCCCGCCGCCTCTACGAACACGTTCACCCAACGCGCTCCGCTTTTCGCCGCCGCCTTCATCGAGTGAACAATCTATAGCACGAGTGTTTCAAGAGACGAGCGACAGAAAAGCTGGATAAGCCGGGCGGGCGAGAGGGCCCCGTCAAGGAATCAACACATTGAAAGAGACAAAAACAAATGTAGGGAGGGAGAGGTGGACGGCAAGAAGCCAACCGCGGAGGTAGTAGGTATAACCGCCGCACACAGAGGGCTTTTGTTAGTGGTTCCTTTCGGGGTGACGATGTGGGGGAACAGAGAGAGGGGACAAGAGGAAGTGCACGGGTTTCTGAGAACGGCGGATGCTATGGTTTGTTGACGCCTCGTGCGATGGGATCGGTGCCGCGCAGAGACAGGGAAGGGCGTGAGGGCGCAGGACGCGGGCCGGCATCTAGAACCACTTGCGGAGAGCTTAACCCGTCCGTGTCCGAATGCGTCTTGGGCAACGTTTCACTGCACCCATACTTGTTATGCAACTTCCTTGATATGCCTAATTTGGTACTTGGGGGATTCCTAACCCATTAGAGGAGTTATTTCAACAAAATGCTTCTCCTCCAATCGAAGCCGATCCACTCCTGGACTGAATTATCGCACTGTCGTGACAAGTAACTCCACACTTTCAAGGTGTCTGCAACCCAAGCCGTGAGAATGAACGTGCACACCGGGCGCGGTACTGTAGAAGCAAATTGTTTATTCACCTTCCCGTCCGCGGCAAGCATGTCCCGAACGGCGCTGAAAACCTCGATGCTTCCGCTCCTCGCGGCCATCTTGATGAGACAGCCTGCCTCCAGGGTCGACATGTTCCCTGCCGCCGCCTCCTTTGGGATGGACCCCCCGGTTAACCGCGAAAAAAAAACACAAAAAGCAAAAAAAAGCCGCCGGGCACAAGGTTCACGAGTTGTGCAACCGGAGGAGAGTTCGAAACAGCAGTGGAGGCGGAAGAACAACAACGAAGAAGGGGTCTTTTTCAGCCGAGGCAGGTGGTACACCAAGGGAGGGAAGGAGAGTAAGCGAAACGGGGAAAGAATGCGAAAATAAAACCACGGAATCAATCCGACCCTTACGGGGGATAGACAAAACCACCGCCAAGCGGCGGCGTTGACACCGGACCTGTGAAATCATCCGTATCACCTTCCCTCCCAGGAGGCCCAGGACTTCCTCGAAGATCTCCAGGCTGCCCCCCTCCGCCGCCGCCACCACCAGGGACCTCCCCCCCGCATCTGTCATCCCGATCATGTCGTCGACCTTTAGTTTCGTGCGGCCAGGAGGGCAGGCGCGCCCATGACGCATTCGGCGCGCAGCACCGCGGCGGGGCGTGGGGTGAGTTGCGGTTTGAATGGCCACTAGGCACAGCAGTAGCGACGGGGGGAGGAACAAGCCGAGGGAAGATTGCAGCCGGACGCGCCAAGTTCGCCGGCAGCAGGCACCGTTAGTACTCGGTGCTGTTGTTGATTCGTTGCGGCAGTAAACGGGCTGGCTACCGACGTGAAGCACGCACGTTGGGGCTAGTCGCATCCGACGAAAGCCACTCGTCTTGGCAATCTCCGAGCGATTTTTCTTACCAAGTACGTATATCAACACAGCGAACTACATTGGGTGGAAATATTAATACTCCGTGTTACAAGGCCTTTCTCCCACCACTCCGCATCTTCATCCCTACAAACGCGTGGCAAGACCATGCTGGACTCCCGCACGCTGGCGTAAACACACACACGTACACACGCACATGCACACGCACTCAGCTGCAGTCCGCTGCGACAATCCTGCAGTGCAAGAACGCGCTTGGAGCGTTGAACAACATACTTATACCTGTTTTGCTGTCGGCATATTCGCTTTCATGGCCTCGAGAACGGTGTGGAACATGTCCAGGTTTCCGCTGAGGGCGGCAAGCATGATGGCGGTCTGTAGCTCCTCGTCCTCGCCGCCGCTGCTGTTGCCGTAGACTTTGCCGGTGCTGATGCTCCTGGCGTCGCGCAAACGGCTGCAGTTTTTCGCCGTCAGCTCGAACATCGCCACCTCGTGGCCTATGCGCACGAGAACCGCCGGCACGGCCGCGGGGACGCCGCTCTCGACGGCTGCGTGCACCGAGTTGATCTCTGGAGGTCATGAAACCAGACAGGCGCGGGGACGTAGGCGGTGACGTGCACCAACGGCGAAAGACGTGGACGGTCAACGTTGCCAGGGCAAGAGAGTGCGATGCGAATAAAAAATATTGTGTTGAGGACACGCCCGGCCGGTCACATTGGTGGTCAAGCTGGTAAAATTCATCATCTAGAAGGTAGCCGGGATGTCCAAGCTCGTCGGCGCATTGCGCTGTAAGTATGCTTGCGCACGAAGCGGTGCGCTTGAGGGAAGGTACCGCTGAACCCATCTCGCCTTTAACTAGTGGAGGTGTGCACGGGCGGGAGTGGGGTTTTGTGGCTCCGAATCCTTGCTGAACGGTGATGAAGACGAGACCGCAAATGCGAGCGAAGAGCTACTTATACGCAACAACAATACTTGTGCTGTAGATTGAAGCCACCAAGAAAAGTAAGCCGGGGAATGCCTGGCGAGGCCAACAACTTACGTTAGTTGCGTTTCGGAGACAACCCTGCGAAAAGAAAACAACTCGTACCACCTCCATGGTGGGACACGTACACGCTAGAACGCCTACCCGCGGGATTGCGTGGGCCAACGCCACTTCAACACGGCTGAGCAAAATGCGATTCTCCTCTGATAAATGACTGAGCAATGCCATGTATTCAGGAAGTTAGCTACCGTGACGAGCTAACCTGGGGGCAGGGTGTAGTGTCGAGCTGATTCCCCCTTGTTCTCTTTGATGGTCACCTTCTTCTCTTCTGCAAGAATTCGTGATTCTTCTGCAATAATTCGTGATGAAGTCCAAGTTTGTTCAGCAAGCGCGAACCGAGGGCGAAACGAACAGAGAGAGAGAGAGAGAGAGAGAGAGAGAGAGAGAGAGAGAGAGAGAGAGAGAGAGAGAGAGAGAGAGAGA